GTGATTTTCTGGCCTTGAAGGTGTTCATGCAGGAGCTGCAGAGCAAAGTGACGAGTGTGTGTGTGTGTGTGTGTGTGTGTGTGTGTTCATTCATACACACTTGTGTGAAATCAAACAGCAGGTCTGTGCTGCTGGAAGGTCCCTGGGCAGTTGTGCAGGTGTGGAGGGCTGGCTTGTATTAAGAACTCCAGGCATCTTCTGGGAGATGGGAGGTAGGCGCTCACTGTTTTTCCACTGTCGGAATTCCAGGCTTCCATCTTGAGTGGACAGGCTCAGTGGTTAGGGAAGGTACACAAAGCCCTGTCCCAGTAATTGATAGGGTCCAGCTTTGTGAAACAGTGAACACACTACTGACCCTCGCCAGGTCCAGCCTCCTGGGACAGGGTTACATCTGGCAGAAGGGACTGAAGAGCTAAGAGAGCCCAGGGAACATGGTTTGAAGCCCTCTTCCTGGACATGGCAGTGAGATGAAGGGACAGAGAAAACATTACCCTTCTCATAAACCCTGGACTTGCACCAGCAGCGGTGACAGCCCCCGAACCTGGAGGCCTGAAAAGGTCCCAGGGACTTCTGGACACCTGAAAAGTCACCTTTACTCACACGGTGTCTTCTGAGAGCCCGGGGCTCACTGAGCCTGGGTGCTAAGCACTGTAAGAGTCCAGACATGTGCAGGAGAGTCCTACCCACCAAAGCTAGTGTGCACCTGTGTGTCCATGAATGTGAATGCATGCGCACTTTGATGAACGCTGAGGGAAATTCACTGCCTTTCTGAGACATAGAAGAAGCTCTAGGTTGGGAGTCTGGAAGCCTGGTTGTCTTGCAAGCTCAGCCACTAGTTCACTAAGTGACTATGAGAAATTCATTTCCTGTCCTGATCTTACTTTCTCCATCTATAAAATGGGTTGAGCCTATTCCTAAGGCCCCATCCAGCCACAGTGACCTCTGTCTAGTGACCTCTAGACATCATTTTGATCCCACTCACTTTCCAAAGGCCTTTCCCAGCCCTGAATATCTGGTATCTGTGAAGAGCTGTCTGGGTCAGCCTTGCATTCGTGTGACAAGCATAGAATCAGGCGCCCATAGGAGCACATGTGTCCTGTGTATACCATTTATTGTTGATTCTGTACTCCAAATCTGTTACAAGCAGTATCCAGCAAAGATGGACCCCCCCCACCTTGCCCACCAGGGCTCACACTCTATAAAACCCTGGGGGCCTATAAAGCTCTAAATGCATCACCAAGCACCTGTGACTATTTGCAGTGATTCCCTAAGTGAGGCAAAATCGATCCACATTTGAAGGCAGCACGAAGGCGATGAGTTGGTGAGAACAATCCCTCCTTGGGTGAAGAAAAAAGCTCAGACTGGGAGGAGTTTGGCCTGAAGGAGTGCCCACCCCACTCCTCTCTGAACCACAGCCATGACCTCCTCCCCAAGACCACCACTGCCTCCCCAGCAACTCCAGTTCAACTCTAACTGTGGGATCTGTAGGTTGATTTCTTTGAGTCATTCATAGCTAAAGGCAGGCTACCTCCCATGTCTCTCTAGCAACTCCAGTTATCTAGTTGTCTACAGCTGCCTCCTCCTCATAAACTTCCTGAGTCTAGAAATGATTCCCAACACTGCACTACACAGACATCTGTGACACCACTGCTGCCCGTGAAGGGTTCTGAGAATGGTGTTGTGCCTTTAAATCCTGACGAGGAGGAACAATATACACGCAGCCCAACATTCCCTTGAGGAAAGCCAGTTTTTCTTTAATGGATGGATGAGTTTAACTTTTCCTGTATTTACAAAGCTTTGGGTCCACACAGTACCAGGTGGGGTCAAATAGCTAAGATGACGGGGAGCAATAAGACAGTGACTCCCATTTTCCTGGGTTTAGCAATGAAAGCCGAGGACAGGCCATGAATTCTTGTATGAGCTTAAAGAGAGAAGGAACATTCACAGCCTGTTAAATAATGTTGCAGGAGACAAGAGGTTTTAGATCCTCACACGTGTACCACTCCTGCACAGGGCTGTTGTGAGGGTTAAAAAGAAAATGCCTGCTAAGTGCTTTGAAGGGTATCTATGCAGAGTAAAACATTTTTGAAAAACAGTGGTTCTAACCGGTTTTTATTATCTTTCCTCCAATATTGACCCTCCACTCCAAATGGAGAACTGACAAAGAGGACTAGAGGCCAATGAGCTACAGGGAAAAATGAACTCAACTTCTGGGGAACCAAGCAGCTCACTTCAGCCCCAAGAAGTGAGCAAATGCCAAGAGCCAAGAGCCTGTTGGAAACGAAACTCTACCCACCTTTTCTGGTAGCTTCCTGACCAGACAACATGGTTTAGAGAGACCACATGGCCTGCCAAGGAAGAAGAGGCTCAATGGTTCCCTCCAGCCTCTGATAGGAGAAAGGACCAGGGGCGCTCAGAAGATCAGGAAAAGGGTCCACCAGCTCCACCCAGGGTGCTTTCCAGGGGACTCATCTGAGGACAGCTGCCCTCAGGCCAGCCTTTGATCTGGAGACACGAGGTATCTTGGACCAGAGAGGAAGATATTCCAAGGTCATGGCCAATGCTATCAATACCCAGAGGTCCTGGGTTCAGCTTGACAGGGCACACTGGATGACGAAGACTCCTTCCTTACCTTTCTGATATCTCTGGCCCACTTGTACCCCTGCACAATGAGATGCTGGGGCCGCCTTACAAGGAGTCCTTTGAGGAATTCAGTGCTAAACCATGCTTCCTGTCTGGGGGAGAGTAGGCCACACTTCCCCTTTGGGGCCCAGGATCAACAAGGCAGGTGACCATTGGAAATGATGCTCAAGCCCCAAGCTCTAGGCTCATTTCCTTTTAGACCCTGGCAAACGCTGGTACATGTCTGCCAGGTACTATAAATATTTTGAAAACATTTTGGAGACCCAGATTTGCCTTGGGGAGATAATGTCTTTTGCCTCTAACAACATCTCCCCCAGATTTCCTGTGACAGAGAGCAAAAAGCTACAAAATGCACTAGTTCTTAACACACATGTGTTCCTGGACTCTTTGTCGGGACCTGTCAGCACCATGCTGTTAAGGCCGAAGTGTATTTCTTATTTGTCTCATGGGGCAGAGGAAACTAGTAAAGGCCAGTAAGGATTGATGGCAGATTTCCAAATCTGTACAGTATTGGCTACAGCTCTTTTCCGGGCAGACACAGACACCTGAAAGTCTCCATTTCACTGTTTGTACTTCTAAAGTGGTCTACCAGTTGTCCAGAGAAAGACATGCATTGTCATGGGTGTACTTTCTTTACCAGTGTGAATATGTGTGCAGCAGGAATGGTGGCCAGGGCAGGCATTCATGTGACTGAAACACTGAACCAAAGCACTCAACTCTTGTAACCAGACTACAGGCAGGGAAAAGCTTCAGAGAGGTCCCTGACCCAGTCTGACCTGTCTGAATCCGTGTTGCCTGCTATGTGTGAGAATGCTGAAGTTCAGTTTCTAGCTGACTGTAATGTCTATGAAGAATTTTACCACGACCAGAGGGATTGCTGGGTTCTATTATACTTGGCTGTCCAATTAAAGGATCTCATCTCTGAGCTATTTCACTTCCCCAGATGCAGAGTGAAAATTAAAAACAGATATAGGGCATCTCATGCCCATAAAAGGCCCAAGCAGAGGAACCTCCAATGAGCAACAGACAGCTTGTTGGCAGGGTAGGGTGTGTGGTTGCATGGACCTCTCTAGTTGAGATGCTTCTGACCTGGCCAGTCTGGGTGCCTGAAGGTCTGGCATTGAATACAATTTCCTGCTCAGGCCAGAGTATACCTACATCTTCTCCTCCACTGCTGGTAGCTGGGCCTTTGCAAGGACAGGCTGCAGAAAAGGGAGGGCAGGCAGGGGCCCATCCTGATCTGTGGGGAGCCAGTTCCCAGGTTAAGTCCATGCCACCTCCACAAGCCCCAGTCTTCTCCAGTAAAAGGCCCGGATGGAGGATCCTGGTGATGTCTCATTTCTTGAACTGGGTACTAATCACACAGGTGTGTACAGTTTGTGAAAATCCATCAAACTATACACTAGCATGCTCCCACTTTTCTGTATGTAGGTTATACTGCCAGAAACAGTTAAAAGAGAAGAACCTTGCAGGTGAACACAAGGACCCCCAGGTACCAGATTGCTTTCTCCATCCAATACCAATAAGCTGACTTTCATGTTTTAGGGAGGTCAGAACTTCTACATGATTTTATTCCTTAAAGGACTAAAATTTTCAAAGCAAAGTTTGCAGTTCAGAAATATTCTCTAAAGAGGCAAAACTTGTTGCCCTGGTGCCTTTCTTCCTTTTCCAGATAAAAATCACAAGAGAGATACTGATGATGGCTCTGCCTTCAGGAACTGAACAGCCTCAGTTTTCCCCTTCTCTCTCTCATAGCATCCTGAAAGCCAGGGCATTTGGCAGTTCTTGAACAAGCAACTAAAAGGTTTGAAGCCTCCTTTGAGGAGAAAAGTCACCTTGCCTTCAGGAGCAGGAAATGAAGAGAGACTTTTCATTTGAGGGGACAGGGTGGAGCCATGCCACAAACAAGAGGAGCAAAGAAGGGGAATCAACTTACATAATACTTGGGAGAGGGGCGGTCCCGGTGGAGAACTGTTCCCACAAAGTGGCAGGTGTGTGATAACTGTGTCTACAGAGGCCAACAGGGGCACAGACACAGAGGAGGCAAGTTTTGGAGGAGAGCTGGTGAGCTTTAGAGGAGGGACTTTCTTGAAAGAAGCCCAGGGATGTGAATTGGGACCACTACAGGATTTTTTTCCATGGCAGGTTAGATGTCCCTGGTAGTAAGAAGGTTCTGCCAGAACCTTGTCTACAGGAGAACCAGGCAGGTCAGGAGAAGGTAGGGGTGCCTTTCTCTAGGGGACCCGAGAGACAGGGACAGGGGATGGTCTGTGGACCCAGAGGTGGAGGCAGCACAGTGAAATCCCGGGTCCTCTGGGGGTCCCACTGTCCCCCAGCCCTTACTCCAGCCCTCCTCTCTAACACTCATTGGGTGCCTTCATCTGCATCAGGACCGCGTGGCTCCTCTTCTTGCAGCAGCAACAGCAGATGCAGGCAGCCAGGGAACAGGCCAGGGCAATGATGCCGATGACAATGGCAGCAATGGCCAGCCCGCTCTGGGCCGGGGTCATGCCCCGCTCGTCATCACTCTTGGTGATGTTGATGGTGGTCAGATCAGTGTAGTCCCCTGAGGGGCTGGTGAAGTCAGTGGCGGAGGAGATGGAGGTGGTGTCAGGGTAGCTGGATGTGTCAGGGTAGCTGGACGTGTCCGGGTATGTCGGCATCTCTGGGGAGCTGGGCACCACTGGGCCCTGCACACTGGGGACAACAACATTGACATTGATGATGATGAGGGACTGGCCACGGACACTGGCTGGGCTGAAACACACAGGGAGGCTGTCTGTCCCTAGCCTGGCCTTGTTGAGCAGGAGCCAGTTGTGGAGTGGAAGGATGTCTGAGTCACACCTCCAGGGGTTGTCATAGAGCCGCAGCTCACATAGCTTCCCCAGGTGATCAAAGATGCCCAAGGGCAGGTTCTCCAGCTGGTTGTTCTGCAGCTGGATGGTCAACAGGTCATTGACGTTGGCGAAGAGGTTTCCAGGGAGCTGCCGAAGACGGTTGTTCTGCAGGGAGATGTTCTGCAGGTTGGCCAACATGCGGAAGATGCTTCCATCCAGCTCCTGCAGGGCATTGGTGTGGAGGGACAGCTCCCGCAGCTCCACCAGCCCATTGAAGGCATCCGGGGAAATGTAGCTGATCTGGTTGCGGCTGAGGATCAGGACCTGCAGCTGGCGGAGGCTGCTGAAGACATTATCGGGGAGGGAGGTGATGTGGTTGTCGTAGAGCCACAGCTCCCGCAGGTTGTGCATGGGTCCAAAGATGCCGGGAGAGAGCTCCTTCAGGGAATTCCCAAAGAGTGTGAGCCGGTTGAGCTGGGGCAGCTGCAGGAAGATGCCGGGGGGCAGCTGGGAGATGTGGTTGTTGGACAGGTAGAGCTTCTGGAGGTTACGGTTGTTGTGGAAGAGGCCAGGGGACAGCACTCCAATCTGGTTCTGCTGCAGGGCCAGCTCTTGGAGGTTGCTGAGCCCATCAAAACAGCCCATGGGGATGTCTGAGAGCCTATTCTCATACAGCCGGAGGACCTGGAGGTTGCGCAGGTGCTGGAAGACCCGGGGTGAGAGGTGAGTGAGGCTGTTCTTGCCCAGATTGAGCTTGGTGAGGCCCACCAGGTGGTCGAAGACCCCATCAGGGATGTACTCCAAGTGGTTGCCGTGAAGCTGCAGCTCCTTGAGGTTGCTGAAGTGGGTGAAGTGGGCCGGCTGGATCTGCACCAACTGGTTGCTGGACAGCAGGAGCGACTCGAGGTTATCCAGGCCCTGGAAGAGGCCAACAGGCAGGATCTGGAGCTTGTTGTTGGCAAGGCTGAGGTAGCGCAGTGAGCCGAGGCTACGGAAGGCACCGGGAGCAATGTGGGCCAGCTCGTTCTTCTCAATCCGCAGCGCGATCAGGGCTGAGATGTTGAGGAAGGGGGACTCATTGAGTTCAGTGATGTGTGTGTTGAGGATCTGCAGGCTCATGGCGTTCCAGGGCAGCGGGGTGGGAACCACCACGATGCGCGCCCCCGTGCACTCCACCTGGGAGGCCCTGGAGCAGGTGCACTCGCTCGGGCAACCATAGAAGGCCAAGCCCGCAGCCCAGGCCTGGCAGCCCACCAGCAAAAGGAGATAATGTTTCAGTGGCATGGCCTCTGCAAAGGAGAGAGAGTACATGGGTCAGGACTGCCTCACCGACACTGCAGCTACTTTGAAGCCAGCATCAACCCTGGGTGCCAAACACCGGCTTGCCTTTGAACCCCATGGCCATGCGCCCATCTCATGCTACCTATAGCTTGATCTGCAAGCCTCTTCATCTTCCCTGCCGGCCTTCCTACTTCCAGGCCTTTGCTCAAGCAATCTCCCCAACCTAGAGGGGTCTTCATCCTCATCCAAATCTTTCCCGCACTTCACGAGCCGCCACCTTAGGATTCCATGAGTTGGCTTCAGTCGCCCTCCAATGCCGGTGGTTTTCCCAACCTCCCTCCCAACCCAGCCATAGAGGCCACATGCGGCGTCCCCCGTGACCCCGTCTGCCTCCTCACTACTCGGTAGGCTTCACAAGGGCAGGGCTGCTGGTGCCCCATCCCGATGAGTTCCTTAAGTCAGGAGCAGTATCGCATCCATCTCTCTGTCCCTCTCAGTTCCTGGACTTGCTGGCTGAACATGGCTTCCTCAGGAGAAACCAACAGGAAATGAGAACACATAAACTGGGCCTGAACCCGGGGGAAGATGCTGAGGCCATGAACACGGAGGCTGCTGGGAGGAGCTGCGGCAGCCAGCAGAGTGGGACCATGCAGTGACCTGGTGGAAAAGACTGCAGGGAAGCTCAGTTTTTGCTCTTCCTGGGCCCCACCCTGCCCCATCACCACCAGCAACAGCCTGCCCCTATGTTAACCCTTTCACAGGTGCTTCATCTAGGTTTAATGCAAACCACCTTCCCAATAAAAGGAAATTATCCACACCACTTCCTGTCTCGCTGAAAGGACTGCTGTGAGTCAGCTGATGTCTGGAGTCTGACTTCTGGGTACCAGGCCTACTTTCCAAAAGAAACACTGAATGGCCTTGAGTAAGTCCCAGAAAACTTAGGATGTACTTTGAACTGAGAGGGCTTCCCTGGTGGCCCAGACAGTAAAGAATCTGCCTGCAATATGGGAGACCCTGGTTTGATCCCTGAGTCAGGAAGATCCCCTGAAGACGGGAATGGCTACCCACTCTAGTATTTTTGTCTGGAGAATTCCAAGGACAGAGGAGCCTGGTGGGTTATGGTCCAGGGGCTCACAAAGAGTCAGACATGCTGAAAGGCGGTAGGGAGGCCCAAATGTTCCCTCAGACATGGTACTGATCCGAGAATGGATCCAAAGTCATGGAAGTTTTCGTATTTGAGTTCAGGCCTATAAACTGTATAGAAAATGGAGAATGGGGCATGGGAGTTGGGCCCTATGTGACTCTTTAAGAGCCACTAACTAGTTAGATCTTGAATGAAGTTTGAGGCCTGCAGGCTCAGCTTCCTCACCCTCAGTGATGTCAATAACCACTGTCCCCACCTGGGGCCATTGTGAGGGGCAGATAGGAGAAAGGCTGTGGGGGTGATCTGTACAGCATTGTGAAAATGTGTGAGCATGTGCCAAGCTCACCCACAATATGCCCTTATAGACTCTTGCAGGCAGGAAGGCCTTAAAGTGCTTTTAACCTTGGCATTCTTAGTCAAGGGATGAAGGATTTCTGTGTATGTGTAGAGCATCTGTAACTTCCATCTGAGGTTCAAAGAGGTCTCTAACTCCCAAAGGGTTAAGAACTGCCAATCATGCATCCCCATCATTTTAAGGGGCATAGGAAGCAGGGAAACTGAGGCTTAAAGCCTCAAGCCAAGATCTTCAGATACCTGGATGAAAACTTTGACTGTTAATGCAGTGCCTCTCCTTTTAATGAGCAAAGGTCCTGAGTCAGAGGAAGGAATTTCAAATGATGGTCTACAACACCATAAACTGACTGGGTAAACAAGGTATTTCCCTGACCTCTCTTTGTTCCCGGGAACTCATGGGGTCCTGAGTCTGGTCCATAACTCTGAATAGTCCTGGCTTCCCTACCTGGTCTCAACTCAGTGCAACCCTCCCCTGCCCCCAAAAAGTTTACTCTCAGGACAGAACCCAAGTTCATCCCACCCCAGACCTTGACTGTTGCCTTAGTCACAGCCCGTCCAAGCCCTGACCTGCTGTGCTTTACCTTAAAGACTCAAATAAGTATGTAAAACTGTAGAGAGAAGAAGGAAAAATAGCAACTTGACTAAGAAATCAAGATGAAAAGGAAAGGGGGCCAGAATAAGCTATGGACACATTTAAAAGGATGAACTTGTATAGGCAAATGTCAGATCCAGAACTTGAGAGCAGAAAATGAACAGCTTAGATAGGGGGCACTGAAAAAGTGAATTAACATCCACCCTTAGATGTTAGGGCTTTTTAATTGATGGCAACAGATAAGGAAGACTGCTCACAAAAGCTAATGTGATGGTAGATTGCATTAATAGAAGTGTTAAGTATGGAATAAAGGAGGTGATTGTCTTCCTCTACACTGCCCTCATCAGTCCACATCAACAGTGCTGTTCTCAGTTTCACCCTGAACTTGAAGAAAACCAGTGATAAACTGGTCTCCTGAAAGGCTTCTGGAAAAGAGTTTGAGGAGGGTGAAGGGATGCAGACACCAGAACATCCTTGCATCCACTGCAGGAACTGTGGATGAATAGCCAAAAGAAGAGATGTGAAGAATCTGCAAGCACTTTCTTAATATATGTCAAGGGCTGACCTGGGATAAAGAAAGCAGCCTTACTCATGTGGCCCCCAAGGTCCAAACCAGTGTGCAGAAGCTATGGGGTCACATATTTCAGTTCATCACCAAAGACAGCTTGTCAGAATCAGAATGGATAAACTTATAAGGTAGTAAGCTCCCCGTCACTGAAAGTGTTCAAATAGAAACTGAGCAACTACTTGGTAAGGATGCTGGAGAACAGGTTCCTACACTGGGTAGAGTACTGAGCTGGATGACAGCTGGTGTCCTGTTCATCCCCAAGAAGTTAGGATTCTAAGGCTGGGTGTCAGAGCAAGGACATGAGAGCCATCTACCAGGACAATAGTGTCTGCACTCCCAGGGAGTCCATGCAGACTGCAGTGGGTGTTCGCCCATCCCCTTGATATGTGTGTGAGAGAGATCCACTCCCTGGACTAACTTACCAAAGGTAAAGCGTCACTTCTGGTTATGAGCCATGCAGTACTCAGCTTCTAGGCCCAGAATGCTTCAAAATGGTATTGGCACCCAAGTATTAGAGATTAAATTAAAGTGCCAATAACCTGGCAAGCCCAGCGCAGCCTCTCAAGTTTCCCCATCTATATAAATCAGGGTGTGGGCCAAGGTACCTTCTGAGGACACATCTCAGACCTCTCTGAGTTTGCACTCCCCACCTGGGGAGGGGCATCAAACCAACCCCAGGAAGGGCCCAGGGCCAGGGGAGGTAACTTGTGATTTGGGAGGCGGAAGCACAAGATAATTCCCTTATAGGAACAGAGCCACTGTTGTTTAAAACAGACCACACTCAGCTTGACAAATATTGCAAGAATTCGCAGATTTTCCTTCTTATAAAACCCTCCCATCTGCAGAGCCCACCCCAGCACCACATGCAGTGGTCCTACTTGCCAGCACTTGTTGTTGTTGCAGCTGACACTGACGTTCCAAAGGACCTCTGGGGAGCCCACTCCAAACCCAGCTGCAGAGCCTCTGGGGAGGGAGGGACCGTAGGAGCAGGGCTGGACCCCGGGCAGGCCCTTAGATTTCCAGTAAGGATGGCCAGGGTCCCTGGCAGCCCGAGGCACTCGGGAGCCCAGTACACAGCGGCCTAATAGCCCACGCTGCCCTGCACCGCTTGGTAGCCATGACAAATGCCAGTTAAAGTCCCACAAAGCTACCCTAATTACACCTTCCTCCTCCAAGCAGCCAAACGCGTTCTCAGTCACTGCAGCGACCAGCCCGTGTCCTGGGAGGGGGCACAGCCTGGCGTCTGTCGAGGGCCCGGGGAATTCACTGAGCCCACAGTACACAGAAGAACAGACACACAGCTCACCTGGGCACTCTGACGTGGTCCCTCCCCAGGAGGAGAAGCACTCAGACCCGGCGCTCTGGCTCTGGGTCGCCTTAGCAAGAACTGTCTATATGACTCATGGGCAAACACATAATTAGCCTCAAAGCCCTGGGCTTTGTTGGCTGGTGGGTTGGGACTTTGGGGTTTAATACCATCTTTCACATTCCCTAAACATGAGCTTCCCTGGGAGGAGACGCCTTCTTATTTCAATGCCACAGAGCAAAGATTTTGGAAAGCGTCTCGGAGACAGATGTGCTACCCAGTCTTGACTCTTAAGTTGGAGTGTAAGTTTAGGTAAATTCTCCAGACCTCAGTTTCCCCTCCTGTAAAGACTCCCAAGGCCCCTGGGCAGTTCTGATATCTTCCCGGAGACAGAAGGGAGATTTGGCCTGAAGCCTCACCATTCCCACTGTCCCCTACAGGTCACATGGAAACACCAGCAGTGCCACCTTCACACTGAGGCTTGAGGACCTTATATCCATCTTTTCAGGCCCACCGTGCTTCAGAAGTTTTCCAGGCAGGGTAATCCCGCTTGTTAACTGGTGCATTTTCACATGGCCAATAGCCATTTCATGGATGGGGGAGCTCAGAGGGGGCCTTTGGAAGGCCACCTCCTGGCCCATCTGGGGACACTGAGCCCCAGACAGGAGATCTCTCTCCCTGGCCTGTGTCCTTCCCCCAGAGAGGCCTCCCAAAACATGACTTGGTGTGCACTGTGACATTGCCCCATTCACGAGGGAGCTGTGTTGTCTCCCCCGCACTCAGCCAGTGTCGGTCTCAGTCCAGCTGCTGCTCTGTACATGGTCCACTGGATCTTACGTCACTAAGAGGCTCACTGCATCCTAACCTCCCGTCTCACTGATACGAGGTTACCCCCCCGCCCCCTCAACCCCAATCAGTATACAAAAACTGTCTGGAAGTACCTGGGAAGTTTGCGTAACAGAACAGACCTCATGGCATCATATCACTGAGGATTACATGGAAAGCACTTAGACTCGCTCTTGGCCCCAAGTGAGTACCT